TCATATTAAGTGATGGCATACCATTTTCTGATAACACAGCGATTGTGATTTGTTACTTAGCATTTTGACTCAACAGGTGGCAGGTTGTAGCCACTCTTGGCTGATCTAAAAAGCTAAATGTAATGAATATTTGGATGGGTAACCTCCAGAAGCAATAGGGCTGTAGGCTGGATTGGAAAGTTGAAAAGTATATCCTGGAAGACACAGGAAACTTCATAGAAGTATCTGTGCAAGTCACTTGAAATCAACTTACTTTATTTTATTTTATTTTATTTTATTTTATTTTATTTTATTTTGTTTTGTTTTGTTTTATTTACTTATGTACTTTAACTTCAGTGCCACACCCAGCTCTAGGCTGAGTCTGGTTGGCTCACATATAAAACAACATAAATACAAAATAAATAGAAATACAATAGGGGTCGTAACCAAATTGCAAATCTAGACAACTGCATCAGAACATAGGTGACATATAACAAACATATCTAACATGGGGGTTCCATCTGCCCTACCCCAAAGCATTTTATTTTATTTTATTATTTTATTTTTATATGACCACAACCTTTGAGTCAATTTCTGAGATCCCAGCTGCTTACACAATTTCTCAGAATACAGTATTCAGTGTCTTTAATATTGTAGAATCATCTATTAGGTTATCTAAAGCTACTTAAGTAGACTTTCTATTCTGACAGGGAATTTATTATCTTTAGGTTACTCTGCTTAACTTTTTTGGAGCTAGCACTCAGAGCAAAGTACTATTCAGAAGTGGTTCGGATCTAGAACAAAACCATTTGGATGGTAACTGCACAAAGATCCCCAAAGTGCTCAGTGTTGGATCATCATGGGCAGGATACCCTCTCTGCTTTAGCTCTCCATATATTTTGGGACAAAGACCTACATTGGCCTGTCATCTTGGAGTCCTCAAACCTGACCATCACATTTTTTGAAGCAGCCACCAAGACCGGTTAGAACTGGTAAATCTCTGGCTCTTACAAGCATGAGCTAGCAGGCAATCATAATGTGATTGAGTTTATGCAGTTTGAAACATACCAAATTTCCACAGCCAAAGGATTTTTGTTCTCTTCCCGAGGCAGGTGAAGGGTCTTTTAATTTCTGCATGGCAATCAATTGATATCTGGCATATTGGGGCAGCAAATAGGTAGCAAAATTGAGGACCCTGATTTAAACGGGCTGGGGTGAAGCTGGTCTTTTATTCCTATAATTTGAATCCCCATGTTTTAAAGCAATCAGTCGATGGCCCTTTGTGCAGCACTGGTGTGTTGACTTACACCAGCTAAAGACTGAATTTTGCTTGCCAGATGATGATGATGATGATGATGATTTTCAAGTCTTGCTGTATCACTTTCAGATACCTGCTTAGTTCTGCTGCAATTAGATGCAGCTAATTATGAAATTCAGCAGATGTCCTTCTCAAACAGGTGTCAGACAATCCAGTTTTTCCCCAGATCACTGGATGATAGGTATTTAGAATATACTATATCTATTTTTTTAAATTTTCTTGGCAACTCATGAAATGCCCTTTGCATCATTCCCCATTATGATCCTTATTTTCAAGGAAGATATTAGCTGAGTGGCAGAAATGCATATTAACAGCAAGCAGAGCAATGGGAAAATGTTGGAGGCAGAAAGGTGAGAGAGAGCAAATTGTAAAAGGCAGTTAAGACTTTTAATAATAAACATAATTCTGTGGGGGAAGCAAACACATCCATGGTGAAAATCTCAGTTTGAAATGTCAAATCATTTTAGTTTGAAATGTCAAAATGATTCCATGAGGATCCGTAACTGGAACCATCGACTTTATTGGATTAGGTTGAAATCGGTTCGATTTGGAAATGGGTGTTTTGGCATGAGTGCAAAAGCCATTTGAACCGTTCCACTGATTCAATTTGGACAGATCACTTTTATTTGGAGACTCAATTGAATCCCCTTCAGATTGAATATTCAAAGCTCTGCAGCTGCCTAATTGCCATTATTTCTGAGTTTGTACCTACATACATGAATCAGTGTATCCAATTATATGAAAAACAAGGTTCATTTTTATTTTGGGGAGGGAGATGCAGTCATTTTTGGTCACAGGTAAGCGGTCACCATACGAAGAACTTAGGGCAGGAGTGCAAAATTCAGCTTCTCTCAAAGGAGTTACCACTTGTGTTCCATCAATTGTCCTCTTTTAATTATGCATCAAAACCCTTAGAAAATGGTAAGTGTAATATAAATAGCTAATAGCAATGCTAGCAGTTTACAAAGGATCACTTCATCTGAGTTGACTTTATAAGGTCTCCCGTCAGTGACAATAACGTAAAAGATAGTATGTGTGGGAGGGGAGAGGGGGTATGGTCTCTCAGAGAGTATTTAAGCTGGAGAAATTCCCTTTTCATACATAGCGTGCTTGCCAGCAAAATGTAGCTCTCTTGCAGGCATATTCCAGCGATTCTTCAGAACGCAATTTTCCATTTTTAGGCTGCACCGACATGCAGTATTAGAAAACTGGTACTGTTTCATTAATGAGTGGAAGTGAGAAGGCAGTTAATCACCAAAATAATTGCATTAAAATGGCCCTAAATTTAAAAGCAAAACAGTACCTTTATGTTTTTGTTCCCGTTCAATGCAACAAAGCAGTCTTACTGCCCATAAATACAGGGCATAATACATAAACTCGGGAGAATTGCATTCTCTCTTTGTGGTTGGTGTGTGATTAATGATTTTTTTAACTTATATTTTTAAGGGAATACTCCTTTCAGGCAGTGAATGTTTAACTGGTTAATTGGGCTGGGAGTAAGTATAGAGATTGAGACCCTAAGAATATAGATGGGAACTTAGGGAGTTGTAAGGAAAGCATTAGGATAGTCATTGAAGGAACCCAAGAGGATCGTGTTGGAGGGGGCTCCCACACACTCTTTCCATGCACTCCCTCCCATGGACCCCTGCCCTGATGACAGCAGTGCTTCCAAGTTGTCTGTCACCACCCTAGATATCACTTTTAGGGGAGCAAGATGTTGGGTCTTGGCCACAGTGGCTACTTGTACAAGCATAAACTGTTCTGGACAGTAAGTCAGGAGAGCAACAGATGTGGAACTTGTTTCCAATTTGCATCCATGCCATCTTAAGTTACCACTTCCTTGCTCCCCATGGAAGGGCTGGCTCTGCCTTTTCCATTTGGCTTCTGTTTTTACTTAGTTTCCTGCCTTCCCAATGTTAAGAACCAGCCCCTCCCATCCCTAAGTCCTTGACAGAGTTTCTTGCTTTCCGGTCACTGGAAAATGCAGGAGAAAAAAAGGCCAAATTTGGTCCTTGAGACCCTCATGTATAGATTCTTAGCCTCTCTAGAAGCTGTTGTTTGTTGTTAGTTGGGCTACTTAGCATCTGCAATAAAAGCAAGTTATCTACTCAAGTGGCGTCCTTGTCTTTCCTGTGTGAGCTTGACTCTTGAATGCAGTTTGAGATCCTGGAGACAGAGAAGATTACAGTGATCTGGGTACTATGCTGAGATCCTGTTAGATGATCCTGATTCCACAACATTGTAGTAGCTCATTAGGATTAAAGATGGTGTCCAGCAGCACAGAGTTCTTGTTCATTGTGTCTACATATATCCTGCTTGATGGGTCTTGATCTTTTAAGAGAAGAACAGCAATAACTTTCCTTTGAGCCATTTCTGTTTTCAGTGAATGAACCAACTTGTACTTTCTGCATGAACAGAATTGACATACTGTTCTTATATTCTTTAAATGGGGGTGATGGTGGTGGAAATATCTTGCAAAAAGAGCAAAGAATAGAAGAGGTATTTATCCAAATGCTACTGTAGAAGAACTATGCATGAAAAGGTATGTGAAATTTCATCCGCCTTTCTTCCTTTTTAACATTTTCTTCTTTGGAGAAATGAGTGATCGAGAAATGTCGAAAATGATGGGTTCAATTAATTGTGAATTGTGCGGAGAGACTTCTAACATTTGTTGAGAAGACTAAAGGGTGCTTTTGAAAACAAGGAAATGGATGGGAGTAACAATGCCTGCAGATATTACTATAAAAAAACATGGCTTGTTGGCTTGGAGAGACTGTTTGAAGTTCAACTTCTTTTGTGACATCTAAACATGGCTTTCTCGTTGTGCAAATAGGTGTCCACTGGAGGCGTATGATGAAAGATTGCACTGCAAACCATGTGATTTATGTACTTGTCTGCGACAGCAAGTCACAAATATAGAAAGCTAGGGTTTGTGTTGTGACATCATTTGTCACTGTTGCATCACAATAATTTGCACTGCACACCTATGCTGGTGTGTTTCTGTGTACAAGAATGGTTTGTGTGTCTGTGGGAGAAAGAATGGTTGGCAAGTTTGAATTAGGAGAGGAATTACATTTATAAAGGCTTGTTTTATTGGTTTCGATCAGTTGGGATTTATTTAATTAATGTGCACTTATTTTTCATCTTACCCTGTCTTTTATTGGAGTGTGCAAATGCAGACATACCTACATGCATATAGTTACGCCTACACAAGAGTACGCATGCTTTTATTGAGGGGAGATGTCCAGCTGGCTCAAATTTGGCAATTTCAGTTAACATGATGGGAAGGGTGATGGAAGCCAGAAAATAAACTCAACTCCCAGTGACTACATGGACACATTCATGCAGTTTTCTTGGCAGAAATGATTTATCACAGTTGCCTTCTGGGATGTTTTCTGACTTCCCAGTCTAATGTACAATTTCCTGGTCCTCTGACCTTGCTTAGCTTTCTCCAATCAGTCGAGGTTGGCTAGGTCCTACCCTCAGATGCGATTACTGCCTTGTATCAGTTTTCCAGTCCAGCTGAATTCAAAATGACAGTTCAATGTCTACTTTCAGGGAAATTGCTGAGGATCACTCCCAAGCTTTCAGGGACCAAACAGAAGCTAGAATGTGCATTTCTAGTCAACAATTGCTTGTTATTTCCTTTTCTTCTCCACTAACTTATTTTTTGCTTAATTTTTGCTGCAGGGCACAATTTAACATGGATAAGAAGAATGAGGAGCCAAGTTCTTCGATAGGTGGACCTTTTCTGAATAACTGCACTGCTCCTGTCAATGCTTGTCACATGGAGACCAACATTTCCTATGTGGATTTTTACCTTCACCAGCCACTTGTTGCTGCTGTCTTCATCATCTCCTACCTCTTCATCTTTCTTCTGTGCATGATTGGCAATGGAGTAGTCTGTTTTACTGTTCTGCAGAGCAAACATATGCATACTGTCACCAACCTCTTCATCTTGAATCTGGCTGTCAGTGATCTGCTGGTGGGGATTTTTTGTATGCCCACCACTCTACTGGATAATATCATATCAGGTACATTTGCCACAGGGACCCTTTGGAGATAGTTCACATGAATGTAAAAGAGGGAGCACGATCAGACTTGCAAGATTATGTTACTACAGCCAATGTAAATAAAAGTTGTTGTTAGGCTTCTGTGTAGTCTGTTTCTTGATTTGGACTGCCTTGTAGGACTGACATGCCTACAGCACTATCCTATATCATAATCCACGGTCAGGTCCTATGGATTATGGCAGTTGTGTTGTAAAACCATGGTTTATTTAACCAGGATTGGTTGTTTAAACCATTGTTTGGGCTCACAAACATGGTACACTATTAACCCAGGTTTACAAATTGTCATAGCTAGCTTTGCACATGTAAAACCATAACCAAACAAATCACATTACAGTTATAATGTGATGTATAAACTCAGCCTGTGCAATTCAGTTGATTTAAAAACCAGACGTTATCACTTGTAAAATCTATACCAATAGAACTAGGAAATTATTAAATGCTGTTTCCATCACATCCATCTGGATTTTTGCTTGTCCACTAAAGTTAAAAAGATATGAACGTGGTGTTGATCGCTTCATCTAAAATGATGCTTTATATTCTAGGATGGCCTTTTGGTAATATTGCCTGCAAAATGAATGGTATGATCCAAGGAATATCTGTTTCTGCTTCTGTCTTCACTTTGGTGGCAATTGCAGTTGACAGGTATGACTTTGTAAAAACTAGAAATTGATGCAGAATACGGAAATCTGTTGTTCTTCTGTTGCCTAGAATTGTGTGTTGCTCAAACTTGGCAATTAGATCAAGGTGCTCTAACTTCAGGAAGAAATCCCATGATGATGAAGTGTTTAAGCAGTCTTGTGCAAGATAAGGGCACTCTGTGAAAAGTTCCAAAAGTTTGGAATCCAAGGATTTAATAGCCTTTCTTCAGCTAGAAGTAGAAAATCCTTACTGAAAACTCTTAAATACAGAGCTTCCATCTTCTAGATAAGAAGCTTATAATGCAGGTTGATAGTTCAGTAGGACCATATTTAGATTTATGAGCAAGAGCTTGTAGCGCAAATGGTGGAGAAGCACTTCATGTGTGGAAAATCTCCAGTTAAGTCCCTAACTTCTCAGTCTTAAAAAAATAAACAAGTGTCAGGTTGGAAGAATCTTCTACCTGAATGCACTTGAAAACTGCTTCCAATATTAGTGGAGAATCCTGGGCTAAGGGGATCAGTGGTCCAACTCAGTGGACACTTTTAGATGTCACATTTCAGCAGCATGCAAACAAGCAGAAGGACTTAGGAGGAGAAGGGTCTCCTGTTCTTTTTAGCATAATCACAAGGAAAGCTTACACTTCCTACTTTAAGACAACTTCAATTTATTCTTCAGTCAAAACAAATCAGAGGATCAGGAGAACTCTGGTTAGTTTAAACTGTGGCTTATTAACAAGGTAAGATTATTATGGTATGAAGCTGGCTGGTTTCAAGAAACAATTTCTTAACCATAGTTCCTCTATCTCAGTTCCGACTTAATGGTAGAATTCTAGTAATCTAATCAGGAAATGAAAGTTTTTGATTTCCATTTCATGAACCTCATTGGATAAAGAGGATAGAGGGCAGAAACACATATGTCCACAGTTCATGTATCTTTGCTCAGATGTTTCTGAACCAAGAAACTGAAAATGGGCCAGTATATGACACTTTCCAATGTATGATACTGTTAATGAAACTTAAGGATGCAAGCACAGTTCCAAAGTAATCATTACAATCAATCAAACTAATTATATGTATATTCAGGGTTCTATTTTACTTTTTGTAATATTTGACAGGGGTGCATTTGTAGATTATTGTTTCTCTTAAGCCAAAAACAAAGCGAACCCCCCCCCCCAACAAACCCTAAGCCTCCTTCTTTTGTTTTAGTGCAGTGTTGTCCAAACTTGGCCACTTTAAGATGAGTGGACTTCAACTCCCAGAAT